AACGATAAATAAGAAATCGTATGCAATTTAAGACGTAGAATTATTTTACTTCGATATTCCACGCATCATTGGGTAATTTTAAATTTGATATATTAATTAACATCCATCTTTAGCATATGATTAAATGGCGACTGAGAGGCGCCTCTCGAGTGCAAAGGGTTAACATCTTCACCGCGGAATTTCATTGGAACTAGGCCGAACTATGGCTCGCAGCAGAACCTAACGAGCATAAACGCAGACCCGAAGGATTCTCCAGCTGGAACATCGCGACATAAGCTAATATATCGTCGCGATATCGTTCCTTATTATTGATCGACGGGGGACGTGAATCATGCGTAGTCGCAGCTCGCGTCTACCGGTACCCATACACGCTCGTAATAATATTCCGTTTGGTACGCGATTCCACGCATGCATCGTGAAAAGAGACGCCTAGGTGGACGCATTGTCAGCACTGGCGCCCATGTGACAATAAGCCGCAGGAGAAAAACCGAGGCTTCGTGAACACAGGTGCGCCATCGCCGCGGTGTCGCCCTCATCCATCCATGTTTTCCACGATCCATGACGATTTCGATTTTTCGAGAATAAACTCTTCGTTTATGTGCCGTTCGCTGTGCAACCATAATCGATTATTATTTCTTCTTGCCTTTTTTCGTCTGTGGATCTTTCCTTGGGATGATTATACGAGGTAGGTCTCCCTATGGCGGCTTTTAGCTTCTTCGTGCATAATCGTCCATAACGATTTTGCTTTTTAGGGAATAAATTGTTCGCTCATGTACTATTCGTTGGCTGACGATGATCGATTGTCTTCTTTTTTTATTTTTATTTCTATGAATTTTTATTGCAAAGTGGTTAGGTTGCGAAGTACGCTGAGGATTCAGCAGTGATCGGATCTTCGCTGTGGTAGCTTTTTCATGAGCCATGATTTCGATTTTTTGAAGATACAATGTTTACTTGTATATTGGTCATTGTACAGTGGTGATCGATTTTTTTCTTTTTTTTAATTTTGGATTTAGTCTTGGAGCAGTTGTGCAGTTGGCTAAGGCTTTGTTAATGATGGAATCTTCGTTATGGTAATTTTTTCATGATCCATGATTTCGATTTTTCCGAGATAGAATGTTTACTTGTATATTGTTCATTGTACGGTGGTGATTGATTTTTCTTTTTAATCTTGGATTTAGTCTTGAAGCAGTTGTGGAGTAGGCTGAGGCTTTAGTAGTAATGGAATCTTCACTGTGGTAGCTTTTTCATGATTCATAATGATAGCGATTTTTCGAAAATAAACTATTCTCTTATACTATTACTTATATATTACTATTCATTGTTCGATGATAATCGATTTTTTTTTTTTAACTTTGAATTTTTTCTTGAAGCAGTTGTGAAGTAGACTGAGGCTTCGTTAGTGATGGGATTTTCGTTATAGTAACTTTTTCATGATCCTTGAAGCAGTTGTGAAGTAGGCTGAGGCTTCGTTAGTGATAGGATTTTCGTTATAGTAACTTTTTTATGATCCATAATAATAGCGATTTTTCAAAAATAGACTGTTCACTTATATATTATTTATTGTTCTATGATAACCGATTTCATTTATTTAATAATTACAATTTTTCAAAAATAGACTGTTCACTTATATATTATTTATTGTTTTAGGATAACCTATTTTATTTTTCTTCTTTATTTTTGGATTTAGTCTTGAAGCAGTTGTGAAGTAGGCTGAGACTTCAGTAGTAATGCAATCTTCACTGTGATAGCTTTCTCGTGATTCATAATGACAGCGATTTTTCGAAAATAAATTCTCTTATGTATTATTCATTATGTACTATTCTTATGTACTATTCATTGTTCGACCATAATCGATTATTTTTTTTTGTATCTTGAGATTTTTTCTTGGAACAGTTGTGAAATAGGCTGTGGCTTCAGTAGTAATGGAATCTTCACTGTGATAGCTTTTCATAATTCATAATGATAGCGATTTTTCGAAAATAAACTATTCTCTTATGTACTATTCATTGTTCAACCATAATTGATTATTTTCTTTTTTTTTTATCTCGGGATTGTTTCTTGGAGTGATTGTGAAGTAGGTTGAGACTTCAGTAGTCATGGACTCTTCACTGTGGTAGCTTTTCCATAATCCATGATTTCGAATTTTCGAAACAGACTGTTTATTTATATATTGGTTATTGCTCCATGATGATCGATTTTATTTTTCTCCTTTATCTTTGAATTTTTTCTTGGCGCAATTATGAAGTAGTTTGAGACTTCAATGATGCTGAGATCTTTACTTAGTAAATTATAAACCGATCAATATTTTCTGGAAGCAAATGGAAAAGTTATTTTGGGTAGCAAAATTAAATTGCGTAGTCCTTGCGGGGAGGTGAAGCGTAGGTTAAGAAAAGCATAAAAGCAGGGTCCTTGACGACCAAAACAGAGTCCTTAGAAATTAATTGTGACCGGTACGAGCGTGAGTCGCTCAGTATTGGAAAGAGAGTTAAATTAGAGTGCGTTTCTATGTGTTTTCGTTGCGTTGTCTTGGTGTTCTTTACCTAAGTTAAATTAATTTTATGAGTTTTATGCTCCTATTATTTTGTTCTTGTTGTTCTGTCAGTTTTTGATATCTCGAAACCAGTTTTTGCCATCCTATAGTAGTCATACAGGTATATAGTAACAATTATATAGTAACTCTGTATAGTAACAATTTCAAATTTCCTCTTCCTCCATTTTATATTCTCTTTCGACCAATCCAGTCAAACTATACAGACATTTCCAAGACATAAAACCTTGAATGTAACTATTTCAATTTTCCTCTTCCTCCATTTTATATTCTCTTTCGACCAATCCAGTCAAACTATACAGACATTTCCAAGATATAAAACATTGGATGATCATTTTTCTTTGCACCTTTCTTCGGTTTCAAGCAATCGGTTCCACCACGTGACTCTTATACCCGAAACTCATTATCAGTCACTCGCAATAAACATTTACATAAAACTCGCATTTCCATACTGATTGTGGCAATTTAGTAATTAGTAATTAGTCGTTCTGGTTATTTTCGAGATTGATCAATAGTCGTGATGTATTTATAATTGTAGCACTGAAGAACCAGTTTCGCGAATGGGCTCAATAGCTTGAAAATATGGCGAACAGGAAACTTTCTATTCCAATAATGATTATATATATATATTACAAATTATTGCAACGTAAATTTGGTAGTACTCGATTATCCAATTATTCCTTTTCTACTTTTCCATCATTGTATTCCAATAATTATATCAACAATTTATATTCTCTCGATCATCCTGTAATAATTAACTTGAGTTAGAGTGTCGTTAATAATTAATGGACGATATGCAAATAAATTAATAACTAAACTAACGATATTGGAATATACAGGGTGTGACGCGACTGGAATTGCGTGCACAAGAAAATGGATTTGAAATTTGAAATTAAATAGCTTCGGATATTAACACTTTTCTCAATCAAATTTCTATAAAAGATAGAAATTCTATAAAAGATAAAAGAAATAAAATTCCGAAGTCAAGGTTATCTGAAGATCATAGTAGAGTAGGCCACAGAACTCGTATTTTCATTAACAATAACTGTACAAAGTCAAAAATATGTGCTATTTTAAGAAAATCATGGTGGCCATGACTTTTCATCGTTATAAAATAGGTTCTTTAACTTGAGTTATAGTGTCACTACTAATTAATGGACGATATGCAAATAAATTAATAACTAAACTAACGATATTGGAATATACAGGGTGTATAGTCTAAGACGCGACTGGAATTGCGTTTACAAGAAAATGGACTTACATTTATTATAAAGTGTAATTTGAAATTAAATAGCTTCGGATATTAACACTTTTCTGGATTAAATTTCTATAAAAGATAAAAGAAATAAAATTCCGAAATCAAGGTTATCTGAAGATCATAGTTCAGTAGGTCACAGAACTCGTATTTTCATTAACAATAACCGTTAAAAGTCAATTGTACTATTAAATTAGTGTTATTTAAGAAAATCATGGTGGTCGTGAATTTTCATCGTTAAAAAATAGGTTCTTTTGAATATTTTGTATTGAAATATCTAACCTAGTAAATACTGATTAACTTTCGTTGGAAACTTTTTGTTGTGTTTGTGAGAAATTGTGACCAATCATAGTATATTCTGTACATCGACAACTTTTTTAATCCAAAAGCATTCCAACGTCATGGTAAACTGATATGTGAAGACTACAATACATGGTACAATTTCAAATAGTCAACCATCCAATTGTAGTAACCATAAGCGTTCACCATGGGATTAACCATGAATATTTGTTCAAAAAGAAATCCTTGAAAACCTTTTAATATTTCTATTTATACTTAATTGGAAACACTAATTTTTGTTGAAAAGATTTTGTTTTTCTCATTTAAGGATTCTGTTTTTAATAACTCGTCTTGTATATTTAATTATATTCTGTTCAAGTATACAATTTCATAAAGCTGCATTTTTTTAGGGAAAAAATACCATAGGAAAGTAGCGCAGGTCGAAGACTCAGGATAAAAATTTAGGATTTTCTAGGGTTAAGGGAATATAAAAATAGATTAAAAATTTGAACAATTTTTGGAAATACGAATCGGTTAAAACAGAATGTTAAATGTAATTTAAATTGCAAAGGTTTAAATACAATGTTACCTGGACTTATTATCACAGTTATTACCACATTTCCTAGAATATTACATTTACGCGCATTTTTGCAAAAGCCAAAACGTTGTTCATGATCATAATCCGTGGAGTACCTATTTCGCCTGAAAGATAAATTTCAACGTAAAATCCGATAATTGAAATAATTTTTAATTAGGACGTTAGACGGTGTACCCTACCGGCAAATCTCGCGAAGTGGAGTGGAAAAGATAAAAGTGGAGTTCTCGCGATAAATAACTATGAACAAATAACTGTGAAAGCAGTATGATAGTTATCCGACATGTTTCAGCATCGAGGGATATCTTTTTATTCTGTTACAGTGCAAACAGTGCGGAAAAGCCTTCAAACGTTCCAGCACTCTCAGCACTCACCTTTTAATACACTCTGACACCAGACCGTATCCCTGTCAATATTGCGGCAAGAGGTTTCATCAGAAGTCAGACATGAAGAAGCACACCTATATCCATACCGGTGAGTCTCATATATCATTAAGATCTTACATTATATGAAAATCATATAAAAATAAAAAATATATATGTATTAAAAATATACCAGCCGAATCAAATTAAAATTACAAAATTTGCATATGTATACAAGAAGTATAGAACTTTAAAATTATAAATTAAATAATAAATAAAAATTTGAATAAT